AACATACACTCACTATAGAAATATCCCACCAATGTGTTCATTAACATACACTCACTATAGAAATATCCCACCAATGTGTTCATTAACATACACTCACTATAGAAATATCCCACCAATGTGTTCATTAACATACACTCACTATAGATATATCCCACCAATGTGTTCATTAACGTACACTCACTATAGATATATCCAACCAATGTGTTCATTAACATACACTCACTATAGATATATCCAACCAATGTGTTCATTAACATACACTCACTATAGAAATATCCCACCAATGTGTTCATTAACATACACTCACTATAGATATATCCAACCTATGTGTTCATTACATACACTCACTATAGATATATCCAACCAATGTGTTCATTAACATACACTCACTATAGATATATCCAACCAATGTGCTTATTATTATTGCTGGCAACAAAATGTCATTACGAATAAAGTTTCTATTAAGCCGCAAAAAATAGTCAAATTGGATCCCATCCAAAAGATTTGCGCGTATATTTTAGCTGTCTCTAATTATATAGACAATATCCTACTGTCTATAGACTTCTTGTATAAACTGTATTTAACCATATGTAGAAGTATAACATGTTTTCGACTGTATATAAATATATAAGTCACAGACAACTGGTTATTGCTGTATTCAACAGTTTATATAGACCACAAAAACACTTTATGTCATTGGAACCTACTTAAATTCTGTTCATGTTTAAATACGTATAACTTATAACCTTTTTTTTTTAAATATTGTGATATTTGCGTGACATGGGAAAGAATGCTATAATGCGAAAGAAGAGCAACCAATACTGTATATCGTACAGTATCCTCAGAACTCTGTACGGTGACGTCACACTTTTATTTCATTTTTAAAGTCTCAAATGAAAATGAAAAATATATATATATAAACATTTAATATTTGAGTAGCGTTGTACATTAAGTTCTTAAGTCGCTGAATCAAACCTCGAGTACAAACGTGAGAAATTGATGAATTATTATTCAACGATTTGTTTAATATGCTATACGCACGTTACTATAATTCACTGGCAATGGGCAATTGCAAGTCAGTAATAGTAATTAGTCACCAAGGAGATAAATTTCACCGCGATTTAATACAACTCTATCCTACTAATATGGTGCCATTAATGCAATGTGGTATCAGCTTTTAGACTCCCTGATGAAGCAATGCAATCCCAAAATGAACGCAAACAACAATCATCTTTCATTCACGACTGCCAGCATGAATGTTAATGACGTTAATTGTTGGACTAGTTCATTTGAAATGGAATTTCTAAAATGTTAATTAGGAACTGCGATAATTAATGAATATCTGGTAACGTACTCGATCAAGGACACGTACTGATCGAATTACAATTAGTGTTACAAGAGGCCACACACATTTGCAGGTGGTTTACCGAAATTGTGCAGTTTTCGGTAAAAAGAAATGGATTTTAATCCTGCTAAACTTGTAATAGGTTACCAATGTGTACCGATGAATGTTATACTGTGTTCTGTGGCAACATATTGAACCGTCACGGCGACACCCAGCTGGGGTACCTCGAGCTTTGATCGGTGTTGCTCATTGCAAGAAACGAGAAGATGTATAAATGCAACAACCGCATTCCCATAAATTACAACATGTGGTCAACGGTAAAGGCACTCCTGCTATGATAGCAACAACCATCTGTACTATGTTATAAATTCAAACTCATCACAATGCGTATTATTGATTTAGTCAATACAATAATACCAAGGCCATTTTGACTGACTTCTAATTTACATCACAATATCCGACGAGTAGCCGTCTGTATTTACCGAATATGTAGGCTGAAAGTCATTTCAATATTATCTCATCTAACATAACGTTTCCGGAGGATAGAATCGTCCCAATTGGTGTGATATTAAAACTCCGGTAAAGGACGAGAGTTAGGAAGTTTCCAAGGCGCTTTTCACCGTCGCGTGAAGGCAGAACAAGGGTAAACTAAAATTTTAACCTAGTTGAAAAAAATGTTGAATAAGTTCGATCGTCAGAACAATTCCAACAAAGGCGAGTCAAATAATTGGAAATTATATACAACGTAACGAACAAATAGACGTTACTGCGAGTCATTGAGAATAAAATGAAAACATTTAAGTAAGAGTGACACATCATCACTAATCGCGCTTAGTACTTCCCTTATGACGGGGTGTTTTAGTCCATTAGTAGATAGTCACGTGATACCCCATCTATGTCAATTTATATTAGGAATTACCCATTATTGTCTAATGTATCTAAATGAATGGAATAATAAAACATTTAAATAAGTAATAAGGCGCTTAAAATGAAAACATAATTAAAATTACGTTGACAACACTTGAGTAATTCACATGATAAGAAGGTCCTGAAGCGGAGAGAATAAATAGAAATGATCAATTGGCTCAGTTTTCAAGTTATAATGATGGCCTGTATTCTGTCCTTATAGCGCCGCAGTCGTTTACACGCGTTGTCACTTGACGCTTATGGCTCGTTAATTTTAAGAATTGTGCAGCAATATTTGTACGTACGAGTCCCCTCAAGGTCGATTGGCAACGTGCCAACTTACCGACTTACTACTACCGCCAGTGTCATATCTGCGACAGTGCCGTTACGTTGTATTAGTCGATACACAATTTAACAAGTTGTTTAATACATGGATACAAAGTGTGTACTTCTAATAATCGACTTACAACCACGTGATCAAAACGGTTGGACTAGAAATAAATCATACATATAATCTGCTGTGGTTTTTATTACAGCAGTACACTCAATTTATTATACTATAATAATTCATTTTCATTACAATCGTCCTATTGCTACAGTAGTCACTACAATATACGTTAAACACTCATACAATGACATAAGTTACATTTCGTGACAATATGATAACCACAACACATATTTCATTATATACCTGGGGAAGTTTACTGGCTCAAAGGACTTTACAAGATTACACATTATTTTGGTATTATCAGTTCGGGATAAGAAGACAAATTTTGCATAAGGAAATCAGCAGTAATTGATGGGTATATAATCAATTTCGTCATAATACTGTGGAAACATATGATACAATAATGGTATACGTTTTTGACACTATTTTACTTGCGTGGAAAATATAGACCATGTCCCACATTCAATATCACAATTTTAACTAACAACATTTCGAAATCGAAAGTTGTTCAGCTCGGAAAAATACTTCAGTGCTGGCGTAACGCTGTGTAGTTAAATTAAAATAAATAAAATCCATGTTTCCATGGCGATGAATGACTATTTCCTCCCCAGAACTGATTGGTACAATCTCTACACTAACATATCAAGAAAAATAGGTTCGTAAAACAAATCTCCTTATATTGTAGCACTTTTGTGAATAAATAGATGTATATTAAAATCACATTTATTCGGGTATTTTTTAAAAAAATAGGAAATTAGGATGACGTGCGTTATCAGTTCTCTAATACCTGAATTAGTATTGCACATGCCCGCTCACGTGACGATGGTTTTAATCACTTTGCTACCGACAACATATAAAGCTCGGTGACATTTTATTGAGATTAATGTTTCGCTCGGTTTTCCAATCTAAATATTATTGCTTATCAACTACGTCTGAAAAAATACCACTCCGACTTAGTCCCTGACATTTAAATTCAACACTGGGAAACATGTGATTAAAAAAAAAAGTCGATCTTGGTATATCGACTGTAGCGTATAAAAGGATTCTAAATCGCACATCGGTACCACCATGTTGTTCAATCTCGGTGACCGCGGTTAGTTTGCTTTTAGCTGTGAGGGAATTCGAGAACACTGCATTGTGATAATTCCCGCCGAATTCCAAAAACATTGTTGTGGAGTTTTTGTCATAATACAGTGAAAAAATATAATATGCTGTTTAATTGGATATTTAATTTATTAAATAAATAATGGAGAGAATAACAAGCGAAACGAAACAAATAAAAAAAATCTATTATTATTTAAAATTTTGAAGTTCGCAGATCCAAATCTCAGCCTCGATGGGGATACCCATGTTATTTATTCGTGAGTAGTAAGAAAGAAAAAAATGACCTTTTGAAGACGACACTAATGTGGTCTTTTAAATAAACAACTGAAATACGACAAGTATTAATCAGCGGGATACATAGCTTAAACTAGACTCTGCTGAAATAAATTACCCCGGGATATTTGTTGTATTGTTGTATTTTTTTTGAAAAGTATTAATCGTATTTGCAATGTGTTTGCTGTAGCGGGACGTCCCCAGTATCTTTGAGGTACCAAGGCAAGCACCCGGGATCGTAACACATTAGTAGTTTAACGGTTAGTTCTTCTGTACAGAGTACACCGACCGTCTCACTTCTAGTAATTAATTCACTTTATTCAGAACTGTTACAATGAGTTTCTTGAATGTTCGTAATATGATAGGTAATTTTAGCCACATTAAGTTAATATAGTGTCTGATTTACATTTAGCGAGTGATGGCAGTACATTTTATAGGAGTAAGCCCCGTATGTAAGGAAAAAATAAGACACCACCGCGACGTCGCCCGGAAAACACCCCGATCGATATGTTGCGGATTGTTATGTTCTTAACGATTGCGACAATGAGTAAATTGTACAAGAAAAAAAAAGCTTATTGCAAGGGTCACAAAATTCCTATCCTTGATTTTTGTTGAAATTGAAATTACGATTCATTGAATATTTCATTGATTCATTGAATCTGAGCACCGAGCATATCCGACAGATAATGAAAATCTCCCACGTTTATTTGCGTAGAAAATTGATGATGATCTTCAAATGACCGTGATGCTAAACGATCTTGGTGTTTTGTGTTGTTAATTAGCTTACTTCGATTAGCAATTAAACTACCTTACCTTAGTGTCATAGAACTTCATTTTTAATCGGCACCCGCTCAGAACGTCACTGTCATTGTTGATATGTCGAAGAGCCAAGTTGATGGCTGGTTCCACACCCCTGGTGACGCCACTCTCGGGCCCGTCTGACGTGAACGGAAACATAGCAGCGATATACAAGTCCACAACCGAGTCGGTATTGTTCTCAGGCAACGCAACTGAAACCGTCTTTATCGGTAACGGCCATGAGAACTGCAGTGCCAGTAACAACATGGGAAGAGAACTACAGTGGAGCATCATCACGGAGTCACAGTTGAAACCCCGGAACCAGCCGCTTTGGACGAGACACAGAGTGGACTGAACCGTCCAGGCACGTGTATATACAAACAACTGTAGCGAACGAAGTTCCGCGCTTAGCAGTACTTGTTTCCACTGTCGACTCCAAGTGCCTCTTAATTGGTGCTTATCGTACGTTTCATCGGTGACCTAGGAAAGAAAAATAAACCGCCGGTTTAAATAATAAAACTGCGTGAATTCCCAAAGGATTGTGGGTAGATGATGGTTCTGCACGAGAAATTTGCTTTAGTACAGCAGAGTGTACAGTATAAACAGATATTGCTGGTGTCATGAGTGGCATCATTTATATCTATGACGATATTAGTTCAGTCAGTCAGACACTTTTATCGAATTATCACCCAAAGTTAAAGTACTTTGATTACCACTGGGGGCGCGCTTCTCGAGGGACAGCCCATTCGAGTACTAGTATTGTATTCAAAACAATTAGCATATATAAATTAGTACCATTTTATTGTCTTAGTCTAGTGATCAGATTATTACTACAAATCCACAGCAATGTATGTTAGATTGATACATAAGAATGCACGGGGTTTATTGATCTTTATTCAAAGTTGGGGCTTCAAAAAGTGATTTACCCGTTTATGCCAATGATGTCTGCTAATATTATAGAAATATACAATTTCTAGGAAACAAATTCACTGATTAACCCCCGTTCGGACGCACTGTGTGTGCGTGCGTTCGTGCGTGCGTTCGTGCGTGCGTGCGTCCGAACCTACATTCAAACTTCACAATACATCATACATACTATTATATATATGCATATCATTTTGTTGTATCTGATTTAAATGGCCGAATGGCTGCCATTTTTCAAATGAAATCAAGCATTTCTGGCTTTTCGGAACCGGTTCTCGGGTGTTTTGCAGATGGATTTTGTTGAAACTTGGTACATACATTTGCACATTGTGTTTTTCAGATCGGATTCAAAACGGCCGACCGGTGGCCTATTTGTTTTAATCAATGCGGTTCTAGTTTCATATCTCTGACATGATTTGACTGATTTTGTTTAAATGTTATATATTCATTATACATCATGTAATAGATTTACAGATGTATTGGTTTGACCATCCGAATCAAAATGGCCAAATGGTGGCCATTTTCTGCTAAAAATCATCACAAATTAACTGAAGCACTTCTGGCATTCAGGAACCGGGTTTTGGTTGTTTATGGATGGATTTCGTCCAACCTTGTTACATAAATTTGACATTATTGGTTCTTGATGCACGTCGTTTTGTTTTTCAGATCGGATTCAGAATGGCTGACTGGCGACCATTTTGTTTTAATGAATGCCATAGCTCAGACGTGCTTTGACTAATTATGTTTACATATCCATTATACATCTTGTCATACAGTAGTATTCAAAATGGCCGACTGGTGGCCACTTAGTTTTAATTATTGCTGTTCCAGAGCAATATCTCTCAATATGGACAAGTACTCTTTTGATGATCATATACAAGATGACTGAATGTCAACCACTTTAATATTAAAAAATCATCATAATCAAGCATCAGCTCCTGGATCCATATCTCTCACATGTTTATGTTCCAACAATATTACTATAAACAAAACTATATAACAACACTATTGAGAACTAACTGGGGCTGTATAACGCATTGATTTTTGGCTTTGCTTCAAATTTTGGAAAAATATCACTTCCAATGCAAAATTAATATATTCATATTAAAGATTGTATTCGTTGTTTTTAATTAGGGATAAGACGCAGCTTGCTTTTGAATTATTAAAATCCGGAACAATTTGAAAAACAACGAAACAGAGTCACTGGGCATTGCAAATATGGCTTCAGTTCTTGGACGGTCAATTTAATTTCAAACTAATCGCCACAGGAGCGATATTCAGGAGATAAGGTTTTCTAAGATCAATGTATCGAAGCGGGCATTGTTTGATGGTTATAATAATTTTAGCTACAATGAGACAATCTTCATATTCAGAGACAAACGTTCTCACATTATAATGAAAAAAAAAACGACGAGAATATATTCGCTGTCAAAGTTAAAAGAGAATAAATGTAGCCATGTTTTCCGAACAAGTGGAATTTGAGTCAGGAGCTTCTCTTACGCCGCTTTCGAACCTGTGTGTTCCTTTTCAATTTCACATTTCTAACCAAGTGCCATATGTATTTCAATAAAGTTATAAACAGTTGAGACCCATTTGTACTGACGTCCTTCTTGATTGGTTAGACGATTGTTCAGTTAGGCTGCCCTCTATTCAACAAAACGCGTATACAACTTCCCCTTTTTCTGCTGATAGACGATACCTTCATAAATCTTAGCGAATTGGCGCACATTTAGCTATATTTGAATGAAAAGTAAGACGTGATTTACAGGAAAATACGTACACTCTGCTTTAGTCCACATACGCTCATGGGCACGATGAATTCTGGTGATGTAATAGTGCTCGATGGTATTGATTGGACGATATATGCGTTGTACACGTAATCAAGTGAATGTATCCATCAGCAGTGTAGTGACGTCAAATACATACTCGTTCTGATTGGTCAAATGGTGTTCAACGTTGGTGGTAGCTTAACGGAATCGTAAACATGGACCAGTATGTGGAAATGATGTAACTACTACACCATGAACAATTTTACTGTTCGCTGCAAAGACAAATTATAAACTGGCACACAATCTAGTAGAGAAGACATTCATTTAAATACAATTCACTCTCTAGTATTAGCAAGGCTTTGAGGTACCTTGTCAGAAACAGGTCATGTTTTGAATTTATTGATATAGGAAATATGACTGGTAGACATAAAATTATAGCATGATAATTCTGTCTGAACAGATGACATTTTATTTTATTTTATTATTATTATTATTATTATTATTATTATTATTATTATTATTATTATTATTATTATTATTATTATTATTATTATTATTATTATTATTATTATTATTATTATTATTATTATTATTATTATTAATGGTCTAATTTGGATAGTTTATTTCGGAGCCCCAAAGTAAAATATCGATAAAATCTATCAATGTGTGAATAAAATCACCATAACAACAATAATTACAGACGCGATGAAGGTTGACAAATTTGTACTATACTTCATAATATAGATCTATAAAACAATCCATAGCATCTAATAGAGGGGTTTCATAACCGGAATTCATGAAATTTACGAACTTAGCGATGTGAACGAGGTTTTCAATTTGTTTTTGTCTGGTGATTCATCGCGTGAAAGAAAGCTACCGCGAGGTGAGGACACATACCTGTGTACCGATTTGAGAATGTATATATCCATTGTTATTATCGCCTCCCACTTCACATAGTGCCGACAAATAAAGTGCTCCCGCCGCCCGACCCGCCACTATTCAAGTCGTTGCGTATCGATTTATCGGGTCTAACTAAATTATTCAAGTTCTTTGATGCAAACTGCCGCCTCTTTTCATCAATTACTCCGATTGCTGTATGATCAATCACTTAGACAATCGAAATGACGTATTCTATCACACTAACGACAGATCGATATTTCGATTCATAGCAGAGCTAAACGGTCTGAAAACGTTTTTGTTGTTGCCATCTAACGGTTTGGCCGACTTTAAAATTAAGTAAAAGAAAACAAATTATTGATCGAAAAAAATCGGCTGTATCAAGCAAGGAAAAGAGTAAAGTTGACTATGAAATACTGTCTAGAAGAAAATATTTCCAACTTACCAATTTACAGTCGCCAATATCAGCGTCACACAACGATAATTTGCCTTGGAATTAGGTACGAGAAAATAACCCACTACACTCACGATATAACCATATGCCTCAAAGCACGGTGCTAAAATGAAAACAGTGGTAAGCTTATAAATATGTTTATAAATAGATATGCAGGTACACATCTATTAATAACACGATTTACTTAAATGTCGCAGAGTAGTTGAATTTTTAACAATGTTGTCACTATTTTTAATTTTCACCTGTCTGTGCATTTGTGTTGATGGAGTTTTACCCGATTCGAGTTTTGCCCCAATTTAGCAACTACAGACAGCTAAGCAGTTATAAAAAAAACAGTGCAGTTGACTATGATATTATGGACTTATTGGTAACTCACTAAATTAAAAGGCGAGTTTATAACAATTTTTTCAGCATTATCTAGATTATTTTTTATTTTAACATTATTTTGTCCAAAAATTTAGTTCTAGGTACTGTAAAAAAACAGCAAAAAAACGGAACATCAAAATGTATGTTCACTCTCTGTATCCCAATGGTATTAGCCGATAAATTACAGTTACCGTATCTAAATACAGATGGAAATGGGACGGCCGATGAGTGAAAAAAATCGATAGATATGCGTGTATTATGTTGGTAGCTGATGGTCGCCACTGCCCTCGAGATGTCATGACATTTAACCAGCTCTTTCCTTGATTAAAAATATATCTATTCTATAAATCACACGGTGTTTTTTTACGTTGAATGATCATGAATGATGAGACTCGTCACATGGTTCAACAGGGTCGTTGAATATGTAGTGTTCCGATGAAGGGTTTTCAAGTAATTAAGTGGCCCTGTTATGCTCATATGGGCACGTCTTCTAAATATCAATATGACTTTCCATGACATGATAAGTTATATATTACCAGGAACTGTGCCATGTGAAGACTAGTAGCTGATATTAGCTTTGTTCGAATGTAACAGAACGAATAATTCATTTTACGTAATATACTTGTTTCCGCATTGATATGGCAAACAGTGCAGTCATACCCAGAAACAAAATCCCGGAATGTCGAAAATAAAAAAAAACCTTGAGATCATAAATTATAGCTGTTTATTTTAATTTGATATCTTTGCAGTGTATTGTTAAAGGACGTACTTAGGTAATATCAACACATCGGATGTAAAATCCCGTAACTTGACATCGATGAGGGGAGGAATTATGATAGCAATATAAAAGAAACCCACTAAGATACGACTCACTTGGGTGATTA